GTACGGAAGAGAGAATAAATCTCATTAACTCACAATAAGAACACGCAATCCGGGTCTTCGACAACGCTTGATGGCTCACTGTTTTTGGGCACTTTTAAAAAGAAAAAATGACTCATTATTAATTCAGATTTTCGGTTCTGTTTTTCTTATCTTTAACTTCTAACTCCTGTTTCTCATTAATTGTCCATCGTTGTTTTTGGTCTACTGCTGACAGGATATAAATTAATGCTCGGGAAATGACTTTAAGAGTTATTTGTTGGACAACCCCGTACATGTAATACAAATTACATCTACGGCTAGAGAGGAAAAATTCCAGTGCCTGGCAACGAGATTAGAATTTCTTTACGAATGAAACTTTTACTAGCGAAACGTATTTAATTTGTTAAGACACGCCAAACTGCACCGTGTATAAAAACGGCAAACCCCGTAGCTGAGCAAATAGGGTTTTTTAAAAATCTATTTGAAATTGTATTTTTAGGAAGAACAAGAACCAAGACCCAGAATAGGAGCAAATTAGTTCGGGTGGGGAGGCAGAGGGTGGGGGGTGGCTGTTCAGGTGGGGCTGTTTTGTATGGTTTTCTTTTATTTATTTGTTTGTTTTAAAGGGTTTTCTCTCAAAATGTTTGATTTTATGTTATCCCGCTTAAAAACTTCGTTCCATATCCACAACATGTGACAACTACCTTACCGTTTACTCTCTATTTTTTGTCTTCTTCCCTCCTTCTTAATTCTTCTTTGTTCTAAGCAAAAAACTAAAATAGTGACGGCCGTCAAAACAACTCGGTTAGGTGAAAGTAAAGTCCAACCACCCCTCCCACTCCCCCACCCCCACATCTTTGAACATCGCGACAATCGCGGCACTGTTTTCTGTTCATGTCAAACATCGCTACAACATCCTCTTTTGTATCCTGCAGGACGTAAAGATAAAAGAAATAGAAACCAGAAGCAGATTGCACAATGTTTGTTAGGGTTAGTACAACCGTGAGAAATGCTACTCAGTGACTTTGTGATAACCAGTTATCGGCCAAGTGGCTGTTGTAATTTTCTGCTGACTTTCTTCCTGGGGGTGGGTCCGAGTAAGTTTAGATTGTATCGTTCTGAACTGTGGAGGCTTCGGGTCTGGTTTAAATCGCCTATTTTTGTTTTCTTAATTCTCAAGTTGCAGATATCTGATGAGTTTGTTTTATTGATACATATCGCTAGTTAAAACTCTCTCTCTCTCTCTCTCTCTCTCTCTCTCTCTCTCTCTCTCTCTCTCTCTCTCGT